CGGCAACTGAAATAAATGGGCCTCTTACTATATATACAACAGGGTACTGTGCTCAGGCTTGAGGGCTTTCTCCAGGGCTCTTTGCTGCCACCTGGTGACAGACAGGGATCACAGCCCAATACCCTTCCCTCTTCCTCAGAGGAAGCTGTGTTTTGCTGATACAAAACTTTTTTCTTTTGAGGACTCTGGACTGGGCAAAAGTTCACCTAAGGGCCTTTATGTAAGTCAGGGATTTTTACAGCTACATTCTGATAAACAGAAACTGCTTTACTCGATTTAAACTGTATGAAAAGCATAAATCTTCTTTCAAAAAACAGAGCAAGTAATAAAAATATTCTTCAGCTCCATTTGATGGAGAAGGGGCAGCAGTGAGAAAGGAAAGCAGAGAGAGTTAGAGTGAGTACATCAGAGCACGGAATAGAGACCACACCAGCACCACTGCTTTCTTCTCTTCCTGAAGCCACATCCCAATGTCTGTGTGGCCTCTGATAAATAATTATTTAACACCTCTGATCCCCAATTCATGTTCTCTCTCTCCCCCCACCCTCTCCCCAATTCATATTCTCCCCCCCCCCTCTCTTTTGGTAACAAGGATTGAACCCAGGGGTGCTTACCACTGAGCCACACCCCCAGCCTTTTTTATTTTTTGAGATAGGGTCTTACTTAGTTGCTTAAGATCTCACTAAGTTGCTGAGGCTGCCCTCAAACTTGTAATCCTCCTGCCTCAGCCTTCTGAATTGCTGGGATTACAAGTGTGCACCACCACACCTGGCCCCAATTCCCTAGTTTTAAACAGGCACACCTGAGTAGGCAGGCTGACTCCCAGCCACACCAGGTGCTCCTGAGAATTGAGACCATGATGTACATGGTGTCATGATCAATGACCAAGTACATACATGATGGTGGCATGGGGAGCTTTTCCTATCAGTACTAAGATTTCCAAGTCTGGCCCCACCCAGCATGGCCACCTCCTTCCTCTTGACGGAGGCTTGTCCTTCCTGCTGTAGGCCTGTCTGTCTTTGACCCTCTCACACTTCTTCTCATAGCTGCCAAGTGTCTTCTCCTCCTGAAGAATGCCCAGACTGAATCATGCAGAAAAGAGAAAGTGAATTTATGACAAGGAGAAGGACCTATGTTTTCAACAAAAGTTCAATATCAATAAATATTAATAAGGAATTAAAAACATACTTTCAATATTAATGTGGGTAGTATAGTCTGAAGATCGTCAATCTTAACCATGTCCAATTAATACTTACCACATATGTTTAAAGTACAAAGACCAAGCAAACAAACCAACCCACCAAGTATATGAAACAGAATAGAATCAAGAGAATTATTATTTACTTTCACATCTTTGTAGTTTTGCCTCAGATGAATCTCTAAGCAATATGTTATTTAATTTTGCACATAATTTTAATTTTATATAAGTAAAATAACGGCAAATGTGTCATTCTATGGCTTTCTTTTTTTTACCCCACATTACATTCAATAAATTTACCCATGTCATTAATGTAACTGTAGTTTATTATTACTGCATATTGCATTTTACCTTAGGAATATGTCAATGTACTTGCACATTTTTTTCAGTCTTATACATTTGGATTATTTCTTTTATATATCTCTGTTGTGTGGAAGATGTCTGTGTGGTGTATGTCTGAGAAATTGCTAAACTGTAAGGTATGAGCATCTTCAACGCTTTTCAAAAAATCAAAATGTTTTTCCAAAATGATCATGCCCATGCTATCACCAATGCTGGTTACCCACACTGATACTTTCAGACTTTTAAATCTGTTAAATACATGATGGTGTTTTGCTGTGCTCCTGATCTCTAATGGACAACTGTTTGTATGTTTCCTCTTCTGTAAAGTGCCTGTTAAAAATTTTGTCCATCTTTCTGTAGAGTTACTTGTCTTTCTCTCTCTTTTTCAATACAGTCTCAATTTTTGGAGAAACTACTATAGGATAGAATCAGCCAAGTCATAGATTTGCCAATACTTACAACATTTGAAATTTACCCTTTGTTTTCATAAGCATTAAAACATTTAGTAAGTATAATTTTGCAACACCTGAATCACATTTGCAAAACTTCTTAGAAGTATACAAGCTATCTTTGCAGATTATGAGTCCACTTTTATTTTGGCAAATATGATTGATATAAATACATGTCCAAATGCTTTGACACTGAAGGCCAGAAACTCTCTACTTTCCATCCTGGAGATGATCATAATAATGTTTTGAAAGTTACTGGTCCAGGCTGAGAGGCAGGTGATGATTACTATCTATACCCTTCATTCCTAATTATGTACCCCTCCATTGGAAAAGTTCCTATATCCCTGTAAACATTCTCATCTTCTCCTCTCAGCCTTACAGATAGAAGAAATTTCTGTTGAATGTGCTTTGGCATTCAGTCAGCACACGAATTGAGAAATAATAAGTCTTTTATACTGAGATAATGAAGATATCAGTCAACAGCTTTAGAGTTAAAAAGAGAATGTGATTAACTCTAGATTACAATCTAAATTTCATCCTAAAGTACCTAAAGCTAATTTATGGCTCACATGAGTCATGAGGTTATCAGGACTAGAAAGATTCATAGACCATTTGAGCTGGAAATGTCCTTTAAAATCCTCAGTTTCCCCTGTGGGTGGGGAAACTAGAGCATGCAAAACATCAATCTTACATCTACTTAGTGAAGAACTGCAGAAGAACAACTTACGAAAGCTGGGCATGGTGGTGCACGTCTGTCATCCCAGCTTCTGGGAGGCAGAGGCATGAGGACCATGTAGGTAGGTCTATTTGTTCAAGACCAACCTGGACAACATAGTGAGACCTTGTCTCAAAAAAATATAGTGACTTATGCTGGGCACAGTGGCGCTTGCCTGTAATCCCAGCTGCTCAGATATATATATATATCTCCACTTTCTTTTTCCTTATATCTGACACACATTATTCTATAGGGCTATAATCACAGCCATAATAGCCCTATATGGCTATATAGCCTCCTTTTTAATTATTTTCTGTGTTTTAGGGTCATCTTTTTTAATAGATTATTTGCTTCTTAAGGTTGGAGGTCATAGTTGATGCTTATGGTTAATTCTTTACAGTTCTCACTGTGAAGGAACTCCCCAAAATATTTTTGCCATATTACTTGTCAATAAAAAGTGAAGGTGAAGTTTAGCAGTGCCTCTGCTAAGGGGTGTTATAAGCTGTTTTGTCAACAAAAAAGAACACAACTTCACTTTTTTTCCTATATGATATAACAGAAACCCCAGAGTGATACTAAAATACAGAAGTTTACTTATATGAAAGGAATTGGGAAGTGGGCAACCAGTTAGTACCACAGTTTCACCAAATTGTGAGGAACACAGGTTCCTTTCAGGTCTCCATTGAGTCATTTCTACAGTGTGGCTGTCAACCTCATTATCTAATATGCTTGCTAGAGCTCCAGCCATCACATTATGTTTTAGGCAAGAGAAGATGAAGAATTGACTCCTTCTTCTTCTAAGGAAATGTACCATGAATCTCAGAGAACACTTGATCCTATGTACCATTGGTTAGCACCTAGCTGTATGGTCACACCTAGCTAGAAATGAGGATTTAGGATATAGACCTTAGCTGAAAAGAGGACATCTAACTAAGAATCAGAAAGCGAAAGATGGCTCTTGGGAGGCAGCTAGCAACCTCTGGCACATGATCTAGGCCACACCAGCCATAAGATTAAGTCAATTTGCTGTGAACAAAAATTTTGTTTTTCTGGGCTGGGGATGTGGCTCAAGCGGTAGCGCGCTGGCCTGGCATGCGTGCGGCCCCGGTTCGATCCTCAGCACCACATACAAACGAAGATGTTGTGTCCGCCAATAACTGAAAAATAAAATGTTAAAGTTCTCTCTCAAAAAAAAAAATAAAATAAAATAAAATAAAGCATGGTCCTAATCCTTAATTAAACAGAAGACCCAAACACTAGTTTGTCAAATACTTTAAAAAAATTTTTTTTTTGTTTTTCTAATTCTTCTCCCAATAGATTGAAGGGATTTCAACCCTTTAAAGTGATCCATTAGCCAGTGCCAAGAGTAGCCAGATCTTGTCTCACATGCAGGAATGTTACTATCCAAAAACCACCACATCTCAACTTGGAAGATAACAGGGGAGAAAAAAGAAATTGGTCTATCTTACGAAAACTCTTCCAGAGATTACGTTATCATGATATGAAACCAGCATAGCCTTTATTTCAGAGCCTGCTAAAAACACCAACCAACCAACCAACAAACAAACAAACAAAGAAAAATCATAGATTAATTTCTTCTGAGCATAAATGCAAAAATCTTCAACAATATATTAGCAAGTCAAATCCAGCCATTAAAGGGATTTTATTCCAAATATACCAGGGGAGGTTAACACTAAAGAATCAATCAGTGTTTTCAGAAAAAAAAAATATATATTTTTTTCAGAATATATATATATATATATATATTCTGAAAAAAAAATTTTTGACAAAATTCAGTGCCAATTCATATTTTTAAGAAAGCAACAAGTTTGAACTCCGGATGGCAGGGTGTCCATGTAGGTTCATGCTTGTAATGGACCACCAAGGAGCAGGAAGTTGATAGCAGGCAAGTTTTTTATGAATGGGGACAAGAATTTACTGTCCCTTCAGTTTTTCTGTGAACCTAAGATTGCTCTTAATAATAAAGGCTATTAATTTTTGAAAAACTTAAATGGCAAAGGTGATTAAATTTTATGTCGTGTGCATCTTATCACAATTTTAAAAACCTAGCAAACCAAGAAGACAAAAGAATTTCCTTATTTTGATAAATTATTTAAAAAAAAAACTACAGCAAATATCAGACTTAAAGATATATTCTCCCTGAGATGAGGAATAGAGCAGATACTTGCTATTGCCATTCCTCTTTCTTTTTCTTTTCTTTTTGGTACTAAGAATTGAACCCAGGGCTTTACCACTAAGCCACTTCCCGGCCTTTTTGTTCTTGATTTTGAGACAGGTCCTCACTGAGTTGCTGAGATTGGCCTCAAACTCAAGATCCTCCTGTCTCAGTCTCGGTGTGTTGCTGGGTTTACAGGTGTGCGCCACCCCTCCTGGCTATACATTGTATTCTTAAAAGCTCACACAGTGAGTACTAAGTGCTTTTACCACAAAAATGATAACTGTGAAGCAATATACATATTAATTAGCTAGTCTTAACCATCCCATAATGTATACAGCATATACTCTAAAACATCACTCTGTTCATGCCTCCCTGGGATTATAGGCATGTGCCACCACACCAGGCATTGGTCCTCTTTAATATTGCATTTAAGATCTTACCCTGTGGGGAAAATAAGAAAAAATAAACAAAATTAAAGGATAATAGAAATAAAGAAGAGTGTCTCTGAATGGGGTAGTGCACACCTGTGATTCCAGCTACTCAGGAGGCTGAGGCAGGAGGGTTGCAAGTTCAAAGATAACCTAGGCAATTAGCAAGTCCTCTTTCAAAGTAAAAAGGGTGGTGGATGTAGCTCAGTGGTAGAGGGCCCCTGGGTCCAATCACCAGTACTAGAAAAAGATTTTTAAAAAGAAAGGAGAGAAGAGGAAAGGACAGGACAGGAGGGGAGAGAAGAGAGGAGTCGTTCTTCAAACGTGACATAATGGATACTTTGAAATTCCAAAAGAATCAGTAAACTAGGGCTGGGGATATAGCTCAGTTGGTCAGGTGCTTGCCTTGCATACACAAGGCCCTGGATTCAATCCCCAACACCACACATACACACACACAAACAGAAAAAAAATCAGTAAGCTAATATATTAATAAGTGAATTTTAGTAAAGTTGCTGGATACAAGGTCAATATGAAAATTAGTTTATTTCTATATGCCAGGAGTAAAGAGAAAGCAAAATATAGAATTGATGCCATAGACTATAGTCACAAAAATACTTAGGAATAAAATTAATAAAACATGCACAAGGATTGATACATTGCAAATGTTACTGATACTAAAGAAGGCCCAAAAATGAATGAAGAGATACAGCATGTTCATGGGTTAGAAGGCGTGTTATCATTTAAATCTCAGTTACCCCTAAAATAATCCAGAGATGCAACTCAACCCCAAGCAACATCCCAGAAGCTCGATCTCATTCCCTTTTTCCTTTTTCCCTTCTTTCTTTTCTCGGACATTGAAAAGCTGATTATAAAATTCATTAGGAAACACAAAGAGCCAAAAATAACCAAAGTGATCTTGAACACGGAAAGCAAAACTAGGAGACACAGCAGGTATCAAGGCTGACTGCAAAGCCAGTTGGGGAGGGAGGGGTTAAGGAGGTAAATATTCTATGATTCCATTGAGATTAAGTACAAAAACAGAAAAAAATTAATCAAAGTTATAAGAAATAAGGATAATATTTTTCCTTAGAAGAAAGACAGTGGTGTCAAGGAATAATCACGGAGCTTTAAGGGTGCTTGTGACCGGGGTTTTGACTGCGTAGGTTGTTCTGTTAATGAAAATCCATTGAGCTATATATTTATGATATATCCATTTATTTCATCAGAATTTAATGAAAGTGCATAGCCGTTAAATCTAGCAATTCTCCATGTAGAAATTTAGTTTGTACTTAGATATGAGGTGTGGGGGGGAGATGTTTGCTGCAATGTATTTGTAATAAAACAAATTGAACAAAACCTCAAAGTGCATTGATTGAAAAACAGTCACATGCATTGTGTACTTTTGTAATGTGGAGTATATAGTGCATGCATTAAAAAACTGAGTCACATCAGCATCTAATGCCAGGAAAAAAGAGCCCTGATATTCTTTTACAAATTGCAAAATAGTATAAGAATATAGTCCCTTTCATTAAAAGAAAAAAATCCCTCCAAAAAATCTACATAAACCACACAAAGTATCTATAGCTAAAATTCTATGGAAATACAGATTTATACCTACTTTGAAGGGATACCAGTTAAATGGGTACTTGACCATTACCAAGGTGATCATTGAAAGTTTGGAGTGATCGAGTAGAAAAACCACTGGCCTGGAAAACTAAAAATGAGCATTTATTTTCTTATCATTTTCTCTTAATGTTTGCCTCAATAAAATATATAAAGGGTGTCTTATTAATAAAATGGCACATTTCCTGAGATGCATACACAAAGAGAATTGTGTAATCATCTTGTACTTCTTTGAAATAAGAGCCCTTCCTATAAATAAAAAAACCTAATCTCTATTGATGAGAAGGCAGAAATTTGCTGATTCTGCAAGAAGAGGGACTCTAAGTTCAGGCTTCCTGGCTCTGATTAGTTAAACGTCAGCAATTCACTCAACCTTTGTCTGGTAGATAAGGTAGGATCCTGTAGAGGAAATGGCAGCCCAGGAGCTGCCATGGGCTCTTGTATACAATGACCAGGCTGGGAAATGGTAATGATGTAAATAATAATTCTCATCATCATCGTCAAATCTAAAACACAGTGCTGTACTATGTGCTAGACACTTTTCTAAGCATTTTATATATGCTAACTCTAATCCTTGCCACAACGCTATAAGGCCAGTATTATTAATATCACATAAATAAGCAGGCACAGAGAAGGTAAGCCACTGCCAAGGTGCAACTTGTTTCCAAACACAGCCATCTGGGCACCAAAATCCATGGTGTTAACTACCAGTCCCTTGACTAGTATTAGTCAATGATATTTGAGGGTCCAGTATGGGGTGGGCACTTTGTAAGGCACTGGATGAGCTCAGTGGCCTGCTTTCTCCCACCCTCCAGTCTCTTCCCCACATAGGAGCCACAGAGGTCTTTGATTTAATTTTGTTTCTTTTGTGGCACGTGCTGGGCAAGTGCTCTACCACTGAGCTAGGCCTGCAGCCCCAGCGTGATCCCTGGGTTTTCTGTTTGTTTGTCATACAGGGGATGGATTCCCAAGGGCACCTTACCACTGAGCTACCTCCCCAGCCCTTTTTTATTTTATTTTTAATTTTGAGACACGGTCTCACTAAGATGAGGAAGCAGATGAGGTTCACAGATGAAGGAGCAGATCACTCAGCACTGGGGTTAGGGGGACATTGGGGCAAGTTTCTCAGTCTCTGAGGCTGGCCTCAAACTTACAATCTTGCTGCCTCAGCCTCCCAATTTGCTGGGACGACACGGGTGTGCCACTGTGCCCAGCCCAGAGTGATCTTTTTAAAATCCTAAATCAGATCTTGTCACACTACTGCTTAAAATGACTTGGCTGGCTTCCCTGCACCTGACTGACGGAGACCTACGTGATCTGGTGCTTCCTCACTCGGTTTCCCACCCCACTGTCTTCCCTGCTGTGTCTGGAAAGCTTGAGCTTATCTCAAGAATGTCCCTTTTGCTTTGCCCACAATGGCTCTCTCCAGCTCCTCCTCACCAGGCTGCTGTCCATCCTGTGAGCCTGGGCTGAAACCCCACTTCCTTCTAGAGGCTCCTCTGTCCATTCTGTTTGAAGTGGAGGCTGCCCTGTAACTCCCTGTCTCCTCATCTAAATGCACTCATTTAGTGCATTTATTGAGCTCCTCTCCAGGTGTCACTCCCCTGTTGTCCACTAGTTTATTGTTTCTCCTCACTTGCCTCACGCAGCTCCAGAAGGACAGGAGTCCTGTCTGCCTTACAAACACCACAGCTCCTACAGCACGCCTGGCCCATGGCAGGCTCCCACAGCACACATGTTGCCTGCAGGGCAAGTCCCAGCCTTGAAGACACTTCCAGTGTAGTGCAGCCCCCAAGGTCATGACCAACTTCCATCCACTGGCCTTGTTCTATGGGACTCCATGCTTTAAGTTCACAGATGAGGCAGCAGATCACTCAGCCATGGGGGTGGGGGGACTTTGGGGCAAGTTTCTCAGAAAAGGGGATTTTTCTCAAAGAAAAAGTGGGAGCCTCCAGGGAGAAAAAGAAGAAAGGGCTATTCAGGAAAAGGAAACTGTGAAGAGCGCCAGGGTGTGAGGGGCATTCTGGGCAGTGGGAACCAAGTACAGGAGCAAAGGCTGTGTGTGAAGTTCATGCTCCCTGAGTTTTGTGTGCCTCGGTGATGGATGTTATTAACATCTAAGCCCCCCGCGTTGGTGAAACAGAGTGCAGTTAAGAGCTATGACTAACCGATGTCAACCAAATGAAGCTCCTGCAGCTTGTTAAAGCAGGACTGTTTCCTTGCAGGTTCCCCGAGCTCCACTCTTCCGCCTCTCTTTGCACCCTTTTGCCATGTTAACGGCACCCAAAGCAGCAGAGTATGCCCGCAAACAGAGTAAGCCTGTTTATTTCCATCTGTTTCGAGAAATTTTAAATAAAATAGGATGTGGGCTCACAAACAAAGGTTAAAATTGACATGGTAACTCAGTTTCTAATTGAATTAAAAAGAACGGGGAACTTGAAGGACTTGATTCACACACACCCACACCCCCATCACCCAAATCACAAGGTCTTATCTGTCAGATTCTTTGGTGGTGGGAGCAGAGTGGTCCAGAAGGGGAAGATCTGAAACTGTGGGGGGCACATTTTTTTTTAAGTTTTATATACAGATGCGGTTACTCTCTGTGCCTGCAGGTGTCAAGTTAAGAAGGGGAGCAATGAATAAAAATGCCACCAGTGGCTCTACAGAGGAAGCAAATGCCAGGAAGTGGAAGTCATCAAAGTGTTTTTCCGGCACATCACCAAAGAACACAGTAGGTTTAAAAACAATGAATTGGACCAAGCTGAGACCAAGTGTTTGGGGAGAACTCTGCTTATATTGTGATTAAATTTTGAGCCTTTGGAGTCAGGTGTTCTGGATTTGAATCTAGAGCCTGCTGCTTAATAGCTGTTTGACTTCAGACAGGTACTTAACCTCTCTGTACACTAGCTTCTTCCTCTGCAAAATAGGAAGAATAATGGTACTTATCTCTTAAGGTTGTTGAGATGACTGAAGATTCTACATATTAAAAGATTAGAAGAGTGTTTGGCAGTTAACTCTAAATAAATATTAGCCATAATTATCTTTTCAGCATTTGAAAAATACTATTTGCACCAGACATAGTGGTGTACTCCTGGAATCCCAGTAACTTGTGAGGGCTGAGGCAGGAGGATTGCAAATTCAAAGCCAGCTTCAGCAACTTAGCAAGACCCTGTCTCAAAACAAAAATTAAAAAAGGGCTGGAGATGTGACTCAGTGGTTGAGCACTCCTAGGTCCAATCCTAGTGCCAAAAGAAAAGAAAAATATTATTTGCAAGTTAATTGGCCATTATTCTTAAATCAAATAAGTATATGAAAGAGGTTTATTTTATTCCTTATGAGAATTTTATTTCTTCCTGCTTGGCATCTCCCCTGCTCTTGCCCTGTCCATCTAATTTCCCATTTTTATGTTGCAGAATCAGAATGGTCAGAAGTGTACAGGGCTGGAGGGAATGAAAAAAGCAGTTCTTTTTCTTCCTGTTCTGAGTTCTCAATTATAATGTGCACAGTGAACACAAGTTCAAAAAGAAGTCAGAGAGATCAAGGTGGCCAACATAATAAAAGATAATAGGGGAGAGAATCCGAGAAGTGAGAAAGGCTGGGATATTTTAGGGTTCTAAGGTAGAAAAGAGAGAAGGAAATTTTGAAAATTGTACATTGAGATATGAATGGGTTTGTTTAAGAAGCATAAGTTTAGGGCTGGGGTCATGACTCAGTGGTAGAGCACTTGCCTAGCATGTGTGAGGCACTGGGTTCAATCCTCAGCGCTGCATATAAAAAATAAAGGTCCATCAATAACAACAATAAAAAGGTTTAAGAAAAAAAAAAGAAGCATACATTTAAACTTCAAATGCATTTTTATTTAGTTTGGTTGCTGAAATGAGAATTTCAAAAATATAATATGCACAGTGAACACAAGTTCAAAAAGTGAACTTGTTTAAAAAGAATTTTAAAATGTGACTCTCTTAATCAACTGAGCCACATGGGGCTCAGTATTTCTTTAGGTTCTGGAGGCAAACTATTGATTGATTAGATCAATTAGTTTCTCATCATAGAAACTGCTTTAGGAACTGCCTGGGCTTTAATAAACATTATTCTAAAAATAGAATAATTGCTCTATGGAAAAATCAACACCATATTGAGTTTTGTTCTAAAGGTATTTGCTAGGATGAGATTTGAGAGTCTAGGTTTTCTAGAATATATCTTTGCTTCTGAAGAATTTTTTAAAGTCAAATGAGGTCATTTTCTTACATGATTTTGGAGACAGCAAGCTGAAGAAAGCAAAACAAGGCAAGAAACAAAAATAAAAACCAGAAATAGCACACACAAACACCCTGCACACATGTACAAAGTCATAGACTGATAATCCAGACTAAGCTTATACTGTCAAGTATAACTAATTAAAACAAATAAAAAGCTTAAAAAAAAAACAGATCCCTGAAACAGGGATTCATATACTTGTTTGGATCATATATGGATCCTGTGTAATGAGAATGTAATTCTAAAGATTAATTCAGTGGTGTTTTGTTTGTTTTGGTACTGGAGATCAGACCAGCGGTGCTTAACCCCTGAGCCACATCCCCAGCCCTTTAAGGTCTCACTAAGTTGCTGAGGCTGGCCTTGAACTTGTGATCCTTCACCTCATCCTCCCTAGTCCCTGGGATTACAGACATGCACCACCATGTCAGGCTCATTTTATTTTGAAAATATAGTTTCATTCCATACATTTTCTTCTACAACTGCCACCCTAGGACTTTTCAGAGAGGGACCTTGACTAGGTATAAGCAGGGTGCTTGGCATACTTGACAGAAAAGAATTTCAGAACATGCCAGTCAGAGACAAAAGATTTGTTTAGGAAAGGAGATATGCATTCAAGGGAGAATGTGGTTATCTAAAAAGAAAGACATCTTTTGGGGTGAAGTAAGAAATACACATTCGAGGGAGAATGTGAGCCATCTTCAGAGAGATGGTCATGAATGACACCAGATAGAGAGGGAACACTTAAGTTTAAATTCAAAGCAATAGATGCAAAATTAAAAATAATATACTCCAAGCACAATACATAACTGCTAAGAAACTAAAAATGATTTGCTGTGGGTAGGGTTTGTTAAAAGAAGTACAACTTTATTTATTTATTTATACTTCGAAATAATTTCAAGCTTAGAGAAAAGTTGCAAGCATAACTCAGGGAACCCATACATACCTTTTACCCAGATTCATCAATTGTTAATACTTTATTTCATTTGCTTTGCCATTTTCTGTCTCTTACCTCTATGTGTATATAGTTACAAATGTATAATCTTTCCTTAGTCCTTAGAAGTTATACATAGCCTATCACTTTGTCCCAGAATATATCAGTTTGTATATCCTAAGACCAAAATCTATCTCTTACACATCCATGATCGATTTCAGAATATCTAACACTGATACTTTTAATCTATATAGCAATTTTGTTGACAGACCTAATAATCTTTTTTAAGCATGTTTTTCATTCTGCACAGGATCCAGTGTGAGATCACATATTGTATTTTGAGAAATGTAACTAATTTCCAAATCTATGAGAACAGTTCCCTGGAAATTCTTTTATACCTACATGCAGCTACTACATCTTTGTCAGTAAATTGGTATCTGATATTTGACCTGAACTTGCTATAGATTGGTATTATTTGTGTGCATGTTCTATTGATGTCTTGATACCAAAATCATCCTTTTATTCTGCAGGTCACTTAGAAACTTGGACTTGGACCAAGGAACTTCATAATAGAGTCTCTGGGAGCAAACAAGAAACATCATCTTAAAATTGCATCTCTTGCTGGCACATTTTTCTTTACAGTTGGCTTTTGATTCAGACAGCTCTGAAAGTTATTATTGAGGTTGAGTTTCTTCTCTTAGAAGCATATTGCACAGCAAAATTTTGGTAAAAGACAAAAATGTGTGTATCTTATGCTACTTCATTATGACTAAAAGACTTGGAGAATTCAGAGTACCTAATATTTCTATGTCAGGCTGGCTTTGTAGCACATTTTACAAATATGTAGTATTGAGTATTGCACAGTAGTACAGTAGGAGACAGTTTTCCAAAGTTTTAATGCAAAATAAAATTAATCTATCCTTAATTGATTTAGCTATGTCCTAAAATGAAAAATATTTAAAATTGCATCAATATAGTTTTTTGTTTGTCTGTTTGTTTTGGTATTGGGGATTGAACCCAGGAGCTCTTTATCTCTGAGCTGCATCTTCACCCCATTTTGATTTTTTTTTTTTAATTTTAAAACAGGGTCTCACTAACACACTTAGGGGCTGGCTAAGTTGCTGAGGCTAGCCTCAAACTTACAATCCTCCTGCCTCAGCTTCCTGAGTCACTAGGATTACAGGCATGCGCCATTACATTCAGCTTCTCATCAATAGAGTTTTAAAAGAAAAATGGATGCAAGTTTTCTCTCAGTAGAATATAAGAACTACTAGGAAAAGAAAATGTTCTGTTCTTTCAGTACTTTTTCAAAATGCCGACTAGGCACATGGTTTAGCCTGTCAAGATTTGTAATGACAGTTGGATCAAATGAATATCAGTACAGATCATACCTTTCTCAAGGTTTGGGTATGCCAACTTTCTGAAGAATAGTTTCCTTAGCATGTGCAAAAGCACCTGTGGGGTTTTTTGACTGAAAATGGTGATGTTTCCATGTGGGCTTGTGGCTGGGGCGTCCAAACCAGCCTTTGCACACTGGATCTGATTGTAGTTGTTTTTGAGATTTACCAGGAGACTTGCAACATTAGGAGGGAGAAAGGAGTGGGAATTGGCAACCTGTGGTCACTGTAGACACTGTCAGGGGACTAGCCTAGGACTTTGTACAGATTTTTTTTTTTAATCTAGCTCTGCTAGTTATGAGAAAAGATCTTTTCTTTGTGGCTATTTCTGTCTCTCCTTTTGCCATCTGCATACTGGCTGTAAGTGTTGCCTGAGGGTTTTTGCAAATAGCATTGTGAATGTGCTGCTAGCCATAGTTAGATATCTTTCTGGAGTCCCTCCATTGGTCTGAAGCACAAAGGTGTTTGATTTCATCACACCACATACACAGGGGATGGGATGACAAAGGACCATCTGAGGTTTGGAGCATCCTCAATCCCTGCATATCTGAGGAGTGCTTCCAAACATGTCAATTGGCAGCAATGGAGAAAGCTCCTCAGGCAGTCACCTGGACTCAATGAAACAGTAACACAAGCAAATCAAAACATGAATTTTAAAAACAAAAAGCAACCCTAGAAGAAGGGCCGTGGCAGAAGGGGAGTGAAAGCACATGTGGGTTTTTTTTACAGAAAATGGTGATGTTTCCATGTGGGCTTATTGTCCTGCTCTTTGAGTGTCTCAGACTCTTGGGAGATAGCTTTATTTTTAGCTTGAGAAGTGTTTACTCTCATGACAAAACATATCTATTTCCAAAAGTGCTTTTCACCATTAACTCAAATTCATACATTTAAAAACTAATGTGATTATTGTTATCACATGAAATTGCAATATATGTTTATGATAGAAACTAAGGAAATAGAAAGCAGCAAAAGAAATAAAAACATAAAACTGAGACCTGTAATCTTTCCATTCATCGATAACCATGATTGACATTTTAGTATATACACAGTTCTAATCATTTTATCCTAAACATGCTAAAGTTTTTAAAAATCAAAACCATATTATGCTGATGAAGAAATGCAATTGTCTTTTGATTAAAGGATATTTTAAGATCTTTTGTTTCCCCTTTGCACTTCAAGTCCTTCTGGAGTTCATATGATTTCCGGTGAGCTCCCTCGGATGGAACCACCAACCTCCATCTCAGCAGCCTCTATAGGCGAACTGCAAAATGCTGGGCATGTAATGTATTTCTAGAGAGCTGCATAGGATGAGAAGTGCGCCCTTTGTCTCCAAGGTCATAATGGCTCTGCTGACTTTAATTCCTTTCACTGGAGCTAATGAGGACGACTCGAAAATGCCAGAGAGAATGAGAGCCCCCTGCCCCATGATCCCAAATGAAAAAAAGAGAGAACACAGAAATCCCCTTACGCTTTACCCCCACGTCGCTTTTGTGTTGTTCTTGCCAACACAGCAGCCATCCTGATATATATATATATATATATATATATATATATATATATATATATATATATATATATATAATCAGCTGCCACACTTGTCCCCATCACACTGGACGCTGATCATTCGCTCTCCACAACTATGGGGAAGGTGAGCCAATCCAAGTGTCATACATGTCTATCAAGTGTCTACTCTGTGGGGGATGTTCCTTCAGGCTGACCATGTGCTGTCACCTTGTTCCCACTGCAGATCATATTCTACGAGGACCGGGGCTTCCAGGGCCGCTGCTAAGAGTGCAGCAGCGACTGCCCCAACCTGCAGACCTACTTCAGCCGCTGCAACTCCATCCGCGTGGACAGCGGCTGCTGGATGCTCTGTGAGCGTCCCAACTACCAGGGCAACCAGTACTTATTGAGGTGGGGGGACTACCCCTCCTACCAGCAGTGGTTGGGCTTCAATGACTCCATCCGCTCCTGCCGCGTGATTCCTTATGTGAGTCTTGCTTCCACCTGACTGATGTGAGAGGTCAGCTCCTGTCAAGTTGTTTGTTCCCAACAGTGTACTAGAGCTCACTGTAAAGACAGCAAGATCCCACCTTCAAATATTAATATATATATATATATATATATATATATATGTATGTAAAATTGATCTCCCCCCCCCAAAAAAAAATATATATATATATATATCCTGTAATCTATATTTTTCTTCCTTAAGGACCTCAACATTTCTTTGGAGAATAAGAAATTATGACCTTTAAAAATAAAAATTGGCTGAATAGAGATATAGGATACCCATCCATAAAAAGAAGGAAATTCTGTCATGTGTAAAGACGTGAATGAACCTAGAAGACCTTATGTTAAGTGAAATAAACCAGACACAGAAAAACAAATGCCTGTAATCTCACTCCGAAGTGAAATCTTAAAACGTTGATCTCATAGAAAGAAGAATGGTGGTACTAGAAGCTAGGGCAGATGGTAAGGAGGGAAGGTTTGGGGACATGTTGTTTCAAGGATGTATAATCATAATAATCACAGGTAGGAAGAATAAGTCCAGAAATCTATTGTACACTTGATGATTACAGTTAATGACTATATATTGCATTCTTTTTTTTTTCCACTAGGGATTGAACCCAGGAGCACTTTACCACTGAACTACATCCACAGCCCTTCTAATTTTTTTATTTTGAGGCCGGGATTACAGGCATGCGCCATCATGCCCAACTATATATTGTCTTCTTAAATGCTAAGACAGTGGATGTTAAGTGCTTTCACCACAAAAATGATAACCATGTGTCGATACCCATATGTATTAGCTAGCTTTAACCACTCCACAATGTATACAGTATACGCTTAAAAGCATCACGTCGTGCATGATAAATATTACAAATTTACCTGTCAATTCAAAAATAAATAAACTTTAAAAATAAATTTAAAGTTGAAAGCATCTAGGCAATCTCTAATTTTAAAAAAAAAATCATCTTGCTCAGTCAAGAAAAAAGCCCACACAGGTAATTCTTTTTTAATGATAAAAAGTTAACCACCCATGCGAGAGCAATGTAGATAGAACATCTCTGATTGTACCACTAGTTCTCTTCACTACTCTCCATGACACACTGATCCAGAACCTAGAATACTGTGTTTCGTCACCTGTGGCTTTCAAGTGATCATCATCAAATAGTTTCTTAAAATGAAAGAGACAGATAATTGATTAGGATTTCATGGGTCTTGGCTCTCACCAAAGTGCTGCTTCATGTTTCTTAGTCACATGAAACATGTTTATACTTTGTGATGTCACCAAATCATGTGGCATGGCAAAGAGATTCAAGAATAGAAAGAGGCCCTGGGTTCAATTCCCAGTGCTGCCAATAAACAAACAAACAAACAAAAGAACAAATAAATAAATAAAATTTAAGCTAGAACAATTTTCAGATGCACAAAGAGATAAAAATAAGCAGAAACCCAAATTGTACAAATCACTTGGCCAAATACCCTTTGAAGTGACGTGTGGACCAGAGTAAATAGGAATCACTGTATATCATTAGTGCAAAATGGAACCTTAAAACAAGCTGGATAGGACCCAGTTCTATGGGGCCGAAATGCAAATGGGAGTTAAAATTCTATCTGCAGACACATTGATCAGGGCTGTGGAGAGTGGCTACTTACAAGGGAAAAACACTACTATTCCCTGTGTTTCAATGCTAGTTTTTGTTTTGTTTTATTTTGTGGTGCTGGGGATTGAACCCAGGGGTTTAGTGCATGCAAGGCAAGCACTCTACCAACTGAGCTAAATCCTCAGCCCTCAACGCTAGTTTCTTCTGCAAGATCTCCAGTTCACTGGTCAGGTCAGCTTTATTTTAATACTCTTCCTAATTTGTTAGAACAATAACACAAGGAGTAGGATTAGGGAGAAACTTTTTAGAGGATTGTCGGAAAAGCTCATTTCATGAAAATAAAAGGCTGACTGTGTCAGTATTGTTTGTACCACACATATGTGCCGTTCATTTTTGTTCTTTTGTTGATTATCGCAACAGACCAGCTCGCTTAGGATAAGGCTGTATGAGAGAGGTGACTACAGAGCCCTGGTGTCTGAGCTCAGGGAAGATTGCTTCTGAATCCACAATCGCTACCCTCTCAAGGAGATTTACTCCGTCCATGTGTTGGAGGGCTGCTGGGTCCTCTACAAGATGCCCAACTACAGGGGGCAGCAGTACCTGCTCAGGCTAGGAGACTACAGGTGCTACCACGACTGGGGCACAATGGACGCCAAAGTCGGCTCTCGGAGACGGGTCATCCATTTGTATGAAGCAGTGCTTTTCTTTATGATCCACATAGAGATGCAATAAATAAACTTTTTTTCTGGCACTAAGTGGCTCTTGCTTATCATTAAGTAATAATTGAATTGTAAATATGTGGTGACTCCTAGACTACTTACCTGACCCTGAAAGGTGTTTTGAATATCCACTTAATTCCTGATGGTCAGGCATACATTTCTGTCTGGGGAGAAGGCAGGTTGTTCCCACCTTCCTACAGTCTGAAGGAGAGAGGAAAGATTAATATAATGAACAACTATTAGAACCCACAGAGAAAAGAAAATGCATAATCTACTGTGGCTGGCACACCAAACAGAGATTGCTGGAGGGCAAGGGTGGCTGATGTCTCAGACAAGACTAGTCAAGAAAAGATACATAAAGACAGGCTTTTAAGTAGAATTTTCCAAAGCAAAGAAGGGCAAGACTACTTGATTAGATCATCATAATAAGAAAAGTGCTAAACAAGAATTAAATAGCCTAGTTTCTTATGCAGTCTCTACTACTAATTAGTAGAGTGACCAACTCAGCCCAGTTTCCCTGGGACTCTCCCAGTTTAAGCTCCAAAGGTCTTTGGACCCTCAGTTTCAGGGAGATCACTGTGATTAGTTACCCTACTTTCTAGCTTACCCCTTTGAACAAGTCGCTTCTTATCTGCTTTGTGTCTAATTCACCTTATGGAAAATAACAACTGATAATAAATGCCCACCTCACTAAATCCCCAAATGGGAAAAGATTGTAAATACAATTTAAATTATCATATCAGTGCAAATGTAAGGAATCCATATGTCCTTAGTGTTCCCTCAAATTCAACAGCACCATATGGTTATCATTAGTTTGGATGCCACTGTGAATTTGTATTGAGATGCAATTATCAAAGACTCAGTTGTATAGCATAAGGTTTAAATATGTGCTATTGTGCCTGTCACTTCTTCTCACTCAGTAGAGCTGCTCTCCTGGAATATTTCCAAGTCATATATCTGATCAGATTCTAAAGTTGAGAATATATAAATTTTGCAAATTTATATAAGCAAAATTAATGCTCCATCCCTTTTGACTTCTTTGTAGAATTTGATAAGTTCTGATTCTAAAATCCATATAGAATTGTAAGTGATCCAGAATAGCCAAAACAATCTTGAGAAAGGACAAAATGAAAAAAAAAGGAAGTGTTCACATTTCCCAGTTTCAAAACTTACCACAAAACAATGGTAATAAAAGCGTGAGGTGCTAGCATAAGGACACACTATAGATAAATGGAAAGAATTGAGAGTCCAGAAGTAAACCCCGGTCCAACTGAGTTTTGCCAAAATGTGAAGACCATTCATGGAGAAGGAAGAGTCTTTTCCACAAGTGGTGCTTGGACAACTCTACGTCTCACATGCAAAAACAAATGAATCGGGATATCTTACTAAAAATGAACTCCAAAGGGAGTAAAGACTTTAAGGGTTACAACTCAAACTATAAAATTCTTAGAAGAAAACATATGCATAAATCTTTGTGACCTTTTATTAAACATTGATTTCTTAAATATGACACTAAAACAATTTGCAATGAAAGAAAAAACTTGAACTTCATCAAAATTTAAAAATTTTATGCACCAAAAGATACTATCAAGAAAGTAAATTAGGTAGAGGGAAGTGCAGGCAGGGGAGGGGACGTGGGAATAGGAAGGATAATAGAACGAAACAGACATTATTTCTGTATGTATATATGTGACTGCTTGACCAAAATGATTCTACAACATGTCCACTCAGAAAAATGAGAAATTATATCCCATTTATGTATGATATATTAAAGTGCATAAACACATTCTACTGTCATGCATAACTAATTAAAACAAATAAAAAATTTTAAAAAATAAAGAAAGAAGGTAAAAAGATAGCTCACAGAATGTGAGAAAATATTTCCAAGTCATATATCTGATCAGATTCTAAAGTTGAGAATATATAAAGAACTTTTACAACTCAACAACAAAACTAGAATGACCCAATTTAAAAAAATGGGCCAAGTATTTGAGTATACATTTTCCCAAAGAAGATATATAAATAGCCAACAAACAAATGAAAAAATGCTCAAAATCATTAGTTATTAGGGAAAAAGCTAATCAAAACTACAATGGGATACTACTTAATTTCTATCAGGGTGTCTATAATGATCTTTTTAAATCTTCAAAACAGAAAATACCTAGTGTTGGAGATAATGTGGAAAAATTGGAAACTTCA